CATATTGAGAAAAATATTTGTGACAACATAGTTTTAACCCTCCTTCAAGATCCTAATAAGTCAAAGGATGACCTAAGGGCTCGTCAAGACTTAGTTGCATTGAATATCCGGGAAGATTTGCAAGCACAAGATGTTGGACTTAAGAAAAAACATAAGCCTTCCTCTCGTGTTACGATGTCGACAGAGCAGATGTAGAGATTTTGTGAGGTCCTCAAATCAGTAAAATCACCGGATGGGTATTCAGCTAATATATCAAATAATGTCCAGGTGCAGGAGATGAAGCTCTTAGGCCTAAAGATCCATGATTATCACGTTCTTCTACATCAATTGCTCCCGGTTGCATTGCATAATAATATAGAGAAAGAAGCATCGAAAATTATTATGGAGTATTGTGGGTTTTTCAGAAAATTATGCTCAAAAGTTATAGATGTGAAGGAATTTAAAAAGCTTGAAACAGAAATATCATTAATTTTATGCAACCTGGAGTTAATATTTCCTCCTTCCTTTTTCACGGTCATGGTCCATGTTACTCAACATCTAGCCAGCGAGGCAATCATTGCGGGTCCTGTATCTTACCGTTGGATGTACCCAATTGAGAGGTAAGAGACTTTACCCAGTGCATTAATTTCATATGCAGTGTACACAGTTAATATTAATCATATTCATGATTTCATAAAATTTTAATTATTGTAGATATTTGGAGTTTATGAAGCGCCTAGTTCGCAATCGAGCTCATCCAGAGGGTTCTATGGCTGAAGGTTACGTGACCAACGAATGTCATACGTTTGCATCACGTTACATGCGCAATCGTGTAAAAGCTGATCAGCCCCCAACTAAGGAGAAGAAACTCGTAAAATATCCAAGATCTGACTTGAAGTAGGTTCATGCATATGTATTGAATAATCTTGACATTTTCAGCGATTATCGAAGGTAATGTACATTAATTTAGGAATAGGATGACACTTGTATTATTTACATTCATTGTATCAATACAATCTCATTGTTGTATAAATAGGCGACATTTGGAGAAGCTTAACAATGAAATATCAGGCGGGAATGCAGCACATGATATCCAAAAAAACACATCAAAGATTTTCCTGATTGATTCAGAACCGATGTAAGTAGCGTAGAAGTAGCATTGTATTTTTTATTTTTAAAATTTTAAGCTAACTCGGAGATCATTTTATTCAATTGATGCTTGAATTAGGTTGATAAAGACGTTCTTGCTGGTGCCGTAATCTCTGAAGATATTTTAGTTCACGTACAATGTCCTTACTATGAAGTGAGACGATATAGTGAACACATTATTAATGGGTATAAGTTTAAAACAGTGGCGACTGATGATAAGAGGGTACGTAACACAAAATAGTGGGGTCATGGGCTGTTTTGCTCAGGAATGTTTTCTAGCATAAGAGATCAAAACCCAGTTGAAGCTGACATCTTATATTATGGCTAGTTGGAAGCTATTGTAAAGATAATTTATGGCTATGGTAAAAAAAGTCAGCGTAATTATTGCATGTTTAAGGTTCGATAGAGTCCTGCCAAACCGCGGAAGGATCATTATGGGTTTACACTTGTAGACCTCGACAAAGAGATATATCTAGATGAGAAGTTCATATTCGCAGAATAGGCGGACCAATGCTTCTATGTTAAAGACCCAAAGGTTACCACCGATTGGGTCGTGTTATACAAGGAGCCAAGATCTATTGTCCTCCCTAATAATAACGCTGATAGTGATGAGAACAATGAACCAATTGGTTCTTCTGATAAAATTTGGTAGAATTTCTCTTACCCTCAGAATATCATGCTTGATATGACAGATGCGAAAATTCAGGCTGACAACCCAATTTTAGTCAGGGATAGAGAACCAGAGGCAGATGTGCAACTAGAATCAACTACTAGTAGACGAAAGCAGACAACGTTAAATATAGGCCGAACAATACAAGCAATACCTCGTTCAATACAAAAATAGCAAGTTGTAGAAGGTATATTCTGTATGTCATTTTAGGAGCGGATGTTAGTTAAATGTTTAATTGCAATAGATGTTAATCTTGTGAATTAGTATGCATATATTTCTTCTTTAATTCTCCTAATCCAATTTTACAGATGAAGAACTCGAGGTTATTCGATCGATCGCATGATCGGTCACGATCTACGAGCCTAGGCTCAGAACAACTTCAGGAGGCACACATTTCATCACATACGGATATAGGTATGAATTTCAATTATCTTTGTGCAACTCAAAGTAGACATATGAAACATCATTTAGGCTAATTTCTTTTTATATGGGTAGATGATGCGGAATTATCGGGTCGTCTTCGGGACACAACTCTAGCATTCTCGCCTCATATAGGTATTAATCATATATGTGTTTGTAATATTTATCCAATCATATTTAAAGTCCAGCTTTTGTATTTAAAATCTATTGTATGTTAGCAATATTAATTTTTATTTGCATAGATAATTTGGCAGGCATCGATTATTCTTCACCCGGAGCCACTAATTCACATGCAAAGCCCTCCCACACTACAGGTAATGGTGTCGCAATATATTCATTTTTTACTTTGCATCTCAATATAATGATACTTCAATTTTCTCGTATTGATTATCTTCTTTAATCATTGTAGAGGTTTCTTGGACACCATCGTCTTTGCATCATACGCAGGGGGCCGAGTTGCATTCGTGGACCCCTGACATTCCCCATTTACCATTGCCTCTAGACTCGATCATATAAAAGACTAATGCTTTGAAGTATCATCTACTTGCACTTAAAAGGCTAGATGAACTAAAGCCTATGATGCAAGTTAGAAAGCAAGTTGCAATTGCTGCGATGGATAGAGAAGTGGAGAGAGGTAAATTTAATAATTTTGTCCCATTGTTTTTGCTTTTTTACACTTAACTTCTGTTGTCAATGTAGGGGCAAAGAGAGATGCAACTAGACCGGGAGGACGTGGTGGAAGCAAGCCTGATTCCAAACAGGCACTAAGAGGCTTTCGGGGAATTCTTCAGTGGGTTGATAACTTGCCAATCGGCCCGTGGACAAAAAAAATTTAATAACTACATCGGCATTTTAGTACGGCGGGCCCAAATCATAAACCCGTACTTCAAATTCAAGGAGCTTCCATGGTCTGCATACGAGGATATATGGAAAGAGCTGATGGTATATGATTATTACTTCGGTATTTTTTTGATATAGAATACGTTTACAAAATGTTTGTAATGATATATACAATCAATTTGTCCTAGTATTTGCAATGACATACATGCACCGTGAACATGAACATTGGCAGATATTAACACTCACTAATATCTTGGACATACACATGTACACACACTCATACAAAGTTGAGGAGCACAGAACTCACACCACAAACAGAAAATTCAAACACAAAATGGTTAGTAAATCTCATGTTCTACTGCGCAACATCTAGGTATCCCTTGTGAAAGCACTTGTTTGTGACGATTACATATCCTCGATCATTCCTTCTTGTTAACACTTAGGCTATTTAGGAAGTTAGTTTATGTAGAAAGTAGGCTACTTCCATGTTGCATCTTTTACCCGTGTTAATATTCTAGATATTGAATTTTTTCTGTGCGTTGTTTTTGTTAAAAGTTTTGTAGAAATAATTTTGCATTACTTCGCTGCTTAGATATCTTATATATCTAGATGCAAAATTGTAGGAATACTATTGTCTTGAGGACTACCCTGGGGCGTGGCACTATGTTTTCAATATCAAAGTTGAGGCTGTGCTCAAACAGTGGCGACATGAGCTGAAGATATCAACATATGATAAATATACCCAAGATTGACAGAGATTTTTAAATCTCGATGAGAGGGTGGATCTCGATCATTTCACGGCTCTTTTTTTTATTGGGATACCGAGTTCGCACATGTATGAGTACATTATCATGTTGCGTACAAAAGCATATTGTAAATGCAACTTATTTTTAACACCTTTTTTTTTGTAGAATAAATCTAGGAAGGGCTCGACGAACCGACATAGCAAGTGCAAGCTTGACCACCACTTGGGATCGACGTCCTTTGCCAATCTTGAGTATAGTTATTGTCGAGACATGGTATAATATTTAAAGTTGATGTATTCACATGCTACAACCTTCAATATGACCAAACTCTTTGATATTTACTATTATATTTTATAGGGGAAGCTAATAATGTGGATCAATTTAAAGGCAAAGTTAGCTTACAGCACCTTTCACTCAACATATAAAGATGAAGACAAGATTAAAGAAAACATGGTGTTGGTGGTAATTATTTTTCAATAAATCATTAAATAATAACTATTACGTTGTTGTACATTTCATTAATTAAGAGTTTAAACTGTTGTACTTTGAAATCATTATTTGCCAATTCAATATATATCTATTTTCCTTATGTGATTTAGGATAATATTGCTGCCGCGTCGAAGGATGCAGCACTACGTGCTACCCAAGAAGCTGCTGATGACCCTCATGTCTTGTCTAGAGAGGAAAATAATGCCATTGCAATGAATGTGATGGGGTATAATAACCGGGGCAGATTTTCATTGATGGGGGTTGGAGCTCAGCGGGGTACCTCCAAAAAATCCTCCACGGCGTCCTCGACAACCTCGACTGCGACAACATCATTAACTATAACTCACACAACTTCTACAATTATGCGCATTAACCGTTATCTGCGCGGTAAGATCGACCCTACACTACTCATGCAACTAACGACGACTATGTGTTCAGATTTGCCTCCATCCCCTACTAGCGACGATGTTTTTACACACATCGTTTTATGCTTGTCTACTAGCGACGATGTTTTTACACACATCGTTTTATGCTTGTCCGGGAAGATTTCAGCTGAATTATTTGGAGAAGTTTTGGACCAAATAGATTTAGACGCTGGCGCACAGGTAAATTAATAATATGTCTTATATTGTTAAATTTCATTCTCTAAATGTAAATCTATTTATTTTTAGGCTGGACTTGCTGGAGTAAGTAGTAGTGGCGTGCAGAGGAGAGAACTTGACGATGATGATGACTCTTGATTTTATGAGGTAAGTTAGTTAATTGTATGTGTGTATGTGTGCAGTTGTCTTATTTAATTTAATCTGAAAATGCATATTCTTTTATAGTTAAATATCGTGGTTTCTCTTCAGAGTCTTAGTTATCTTGCTACTTTTTGAGAGATAGGGTTAGGCTTGGTACTTATCTTGTTACTTTGTTTGTGAGAGAAAGAGATAGCTTATATTACCTATCGTCTTTATGATGTTAGATCAAAGGGGCTTCTGAGCTTCTCTTCTAACTTTCATACTATGGCCAGCTGCAACTCGGCCTGTGCTTTCTATTCACCTGCTTTTGGCGATGGTCGTCCTGGATGTTATGTTTTATGCGAACTTGTTTCTTTGGTCAGTACATATTCATGATATGATGGTATTTACTTTTTGCTTTCTTTTTCAAGCAAATATACAAGAGACTTTCATGTAGTTTTTCTTTACTTTATTTGCCATTTTTTTAAACAAACTGATTCTGCATTCCAAAACTTTTATCTTCTTGAATTGTTCAGTTACGTGAACTTTAAATTGTGTATTATATGAAAAAGATTATAACGAAGAAGACATTAATCTCCTTTGCTGGTTCTTTGCAAAGGAGAATGATTGATAATTAGTGAACGACTATTTTACTGTAGAAAAGTAAATGTTTATTGTTATGTCAATTTTGCCTTTAGAATTAGTCAATTTTTTCACACATCTACGTATACAAGAATGAAAATAATACAAATATTAAAGTAATAGTGGTATTTAAATATTTCTTTTTTGGAAAAAAAAGTGTTTAAAATGGGATAAAGAGATTTTAATGAAACATGAACATTCTTTTATTGTATTTCTCTTTCTTGCTTATTGCTGTCAGTTTTTATGAAGTGTTTCCTTTGCACTCAAGTAGAATAATTAAATAAGGGTAAATCACACTTAAATACCCTATTGTTTACCTAATGTCGGACATAAATGCCCTCGGTTGTATTCATGAACGGCTGCACTTAAATACCCCAAAATTTCTAAAAGTTACACTTAAATACCCTATTAGGGTTCTCTGTGTGAATGGCTTACAACTCTATGATCCATGGAAAAGAACAAAAAGGGCGATGATGATTTGCCCAAAGGCATCAATTACTTGATTGCAAAGGTTATGGAAATGGCGAGGCAAGCTTGGATGGCCTGCTACTGTTCAGGCCAGCAGCTTGCAGCCATCCATTTGCTTTGTTTGGGTGGGTGGGGTTGCATCATTCGTTGTTAATGATGCTATATTAAACAGGGATATCTAGGCCTCCATAACATGTTAGACACTAGCCCTCGGGCTAGCATTGGGTCAGGGAATCCATTTCCTTGTAGCACTTGCAGGTCTGGGAATCTACAGCTGCTGATAAGGGTGGAAGGTTATCAAAAGGTTAAATAGCATGTGATTACCTTCTAGTTTGCATGGCTTTGCACTTATATACCTTCCTTTTCTTTTCTTGACATTTACATGTGCTCTTGTTTTTCAATGTAGTATGTTGCTGCTTCTGTTAATCAACAATTGGAGTATTCTCCAGAATATTCTCATGTGATTTCCACATGCTAAAATTTGGTCAATTAGTAAGCATACTTTTAAATTTAGGAATATATCATATTCTTAAAAATAATGCCACCTTCTTTTATCTTGCAGGTGCATGTGTTTCTTTGAGCATCTCTAGAGAAAATAATGCTCGTGGACCTGGATATCGGTTTGTAAATCGTCGTTGTATTTTTAAATCACAACTTTCTTTGTGTTGAGCCCAAAACAAACAGTGAGTTGATTGAGTTGTGCGGCAAATTTATATGTATATATATGTGGATGATTATAAGTTGGCAGAGATACTTTAAGAGAGAGATGATATGTATGAAAAAACATGTGTGACTTTGTTGTGTAGTCGTTTAGAATTGTTTGTGTGATTTATTCAAGTTGTTTTGTGGATAGTTTAATTGTTTGCGTGGTTGGTATATATTTGATTTTTATTATTGATTTGTAAACTGGATTTACAGGTTTATTCAATAGGAAATTTGAGTGGATTTACAGGTATACAATAGCCAATTTGGAAACTGCATAATAGTGGGAAAGAAACTATCCCAGACGGATTTTTTACATCCCAGACGGAAATATCCGCCTGGGATGTAAAATCGTCTGGGTTACTGCCAGACATCCCAGACGAAAAATTCCGTCTGGGTTAATTATCCCAGACGGAATTCCGTCGGGGATATTCCCAGATGGAATTCCGTCTGGGATAAATAACCCAGACAGAATTTTTCCGTTTGGGATATTTTGTATCTTAGACGAAAAATTCTGTTTGAGATGTATCCCAGACGGATACATCCCAGACGAAAAATTTTGTCTGGGTTACTTATCCCAGACGGAAATCATCCGTCTAGAATGTATTACAGACGGTTTTTTTCCGTCTATAAAAATCCGTCTAGAATACATTCTAGACGGAATTTCCGTCTAGAATAAAATATTCTAGACGGAAACTAATTAGATCCGTATTCCAGACGGAATTCCATATGGAATAGTTTTTCTAGACGGAATTATGGTTATTCCAGACGGAATTTTCTATCTGGAATGCGTCGTTTTGTACCAGTGAATTGCATGGAAAAAATTCTTTCTGTAAGTATAAACAATATTTTTTAAATCCAAATTTTGTGTTTGACTAGTTTTAACTGATAATTATGATGTTGTACCTTTTATTAAGAAATGTATTTCTACTTGAATTGAAATATTTTAGAAAAATACAATGCAATTTGTTAATTGAAGTTTGCTAACTTGACGATAGGGTATTAGTTGTTATTTTCTTTAAAATTATTTTAGAGCAAAAGAATTAAATTGACTATAAAAAATCTTGAATTTTTTTTCTTATGCTATATTTTTATTTCATGTCAACTAAATCATCCTATTAATTGTTATTATCTACATATATTTAGATGGCTAAGATTTACTTGTAATATATTGACATATATATTAATGGACACCATTTTCCAAAAATCCTACCTCAGTCAGCGCTAACTTACATGTTGAGGCGGTCGATTGAATCAATGCATGATACGGAGCGATAGTTATGGGATTGGAATACCATCCTAGTTTTTAGCCAATTTTGATTCTAAATTATATTAAAAATTAACAAAAATACTTGTTATTAGGGTTCCTTTTTCGACAAGTCTTTCACGGTTTATGTTCTTTCATGGCTCCTGTCGTTTAGAAAAAAGGCAAGCCTTCATCTTTCTTGTAATCAGATGATATATAGCTAAAATAATTTTCTGTGAAGAGTTTGGTTCATGTTCTTTTTTAATTTAACATCTTTAGAAGAAACTGTAGGTTCATAATGCAATACAGAGAGGTTTATTTATGCAAAAAAAGAATACATATATGGGTAAAGAAGAATTGTTAAAGGTGAGGGATAAAGCTTTGGTTTTGTTTGGTGGAGTGGACAATTTGAAAGGCCAAATCAGTTCTTGCTGGAAGGGTGCTAAAATAAAGCTTTCTGAACTATATTATGCAATTCATCCTACTGTAAATGATGTGATATGGTTCAAGACAGTCTGGGGGGGTTTAAACATCCATAAACATTCTTCTGTTAGTTGGCTTGCATTTCATGACAGGCTTCTCACACAGGACAGACTTCATAGGAGAGGTGTCATCAATGAAAACACCTGTATTCTCTGCTCTAGAGCAGCCAGTGAAACAAGAAACCACATGTTTTTTGAGTGTGTGTTTTCTGTGGATGTCTGGAACTGTATCATGAGCTGGCTGAGTTTTAAATGGAGATCTTGCAATTGGTCTCAGATAGTCAATTGGTATGCTTACAGGTTGAAGGGAAGGGGGTTAAAGCAACATCTCAAGAAAATGGCTTTGATTACCACTATATATTTCATTTGGAGAGAGCGGAATTTGAGGCTATTTCAGCAGAGGTCTAGAAGTGTTGATGTTTTGGTTAGAGATATCAAATTTGATGTCCTCACATCCATTCTCAACACCCCTTCAATTGCAAGTAGTGATGTTGTTTTGAGGATTTCTATCATTTGAATATCTATGTTTTATATGATATTCAGTTAGTTTTTCTTTGTAATCTCAGTTTTGAACACTGAGTATCTGATGTACATAAACCTTTCATACTTGGTTAGTGAATAAAAATTTTTCATTGACCAAAATAAAAGAATTTGAATCCTTTCTAGTACCACAATGAATAATGAAGATATTACTTTGTCAATTATAATTGTACAATAAGATCTTAATAATTAAATGGATCAGTATGTCATCTATTGTATTCATAAATGTATACAAGTCTAACATGATCAAGCTTCAACAAATAGCACAAACAAACCTATTGCAACATTATACAAGTTCAAGCCTAAAAACTCATCGTTAATTGCTTGGTGTAGTTACACAAGTCACTAGGTTAACTTAAATGCTTACATGAACCTATGCTGAGTTCGGATTTGAATTGTCTCAACTCTGCCAAGATGAATCATTCACGACTATGTATTTGTTATTCCGCGGGGTAGTTGTGCTTCACGCCAAATATTATTTCTTACCACAACCTTATGTATTTCACCTATTCTCATTGTGCACTCAACAAAAATTATAGTCATCGACGTTTGTGGGAAAAAGTACCGGTCTCCACTATTTTTCTCTTTTCATTGAGCTCAGAATCTTTAAAAGAACATTTCTTTATTCATAAATAAAGTAAACATTCTATTCAATATTGAGATCATTATTGTTAATCACAGTCATCTATTGTTCAATGAAATGTAATAATGTCGTTTGTTGCATCTATTTACAATTCATTCAAGATGGGCCACAACCATCAACTAGATAATAAACAATTCTGATCATACTTTCTAATCACATGTAGAAAACTATTCTCTTTATAATTATAATATATATTAACTAAAATTCTTCTACACTATTTAGAATCTTCTCCAAACTACAATTTTATGCAATATGCAACTGAAGCCCAAACAATCTTACACTATGACTACATCATCATTGGAGTCGAAGACAGCACTGCCAACTATCCATTGGCTATACAAGGCCCGCCACCGTCTCTCAAACCTCCAAAGTCTTAGAGTGTATTTGGCAAGTCAAAAGAACTAGTTTTAGTGGATATAAGTGTGATCTGAAAATTTGTTTTTAGTTTCGCAATATTTAGGCTAAGTTTGAACCAGTTCTTGCTAGTTCTTAGCACTTAAACTAATACTTTTTTTAACCAACCCCTGCATGGACGAACTCTAACCTAGTTGAACAAGAACTAGTTCAAACTCAGTCCTATTTTAGAATTTCCAAACACACCCTTGCTCTTAGATAGATGAGGCTCTCATTACCAAAAAAACATAATACATCTCTCAAACTTCACAAACTCCCTATGGGATACCTCCCCAACCTCTACATGTTAAAGTCAGCAGCACAACTTACACTGCCACGACGCACAACGCAGATCTAGCAATACTTTAGCAACCTAATTTTTACAGTGTGCCATACTCCACAATACACTATAAATACCCTGAGCTTTGGTGAAAAATCTCCGAAGCAAGGCGGGGGGGGGGAGAAATAAATAGCGAATGAATGTAAAAAAGTGTGGTAGTGTAGTAGTTTGTAGTAGAGAGAGTGTTTGCATTGAAGAGAGTACAGAGGATTGTACTACTAGAGAAATAATAATAAAATATTTTTAGCGTCTATTATAAAATATTTTTTAGTGTTTACCAGCCTTCTTAACTCAACAAGTGGTATCAAAGCTACTCTCACAAATCAGCAATTGGTACCAAAGCAGGTGGTCTAAGACTCGCTCTCTCCTACAGTGATCCTATCAGTGTTATTGAAGGTAAAAGTTCATGCTTAGCCCAGGATTGTGAAGTTAGTTGGTCAATAACCAAACTTGCGTGAAGACACTGAGGCAATACCACCTCATAATGAGGGATCTAGCAAGTACTACTACTGCAATTAAGAAACTTAGCTGCAACAACTACAATTACTGTAAGACATGTATAAAGTCCTATTTGCAAAGACAAATAGTTTGTAGTAGAGAGAGTGTTTGTATTGAAGAGAGTATAGAGGGTTATACTATTAGAGAAATAATAACAAAATAGTTTTCAGTATCTACCACCCTTCTCAAGTGGTATGAGAGCTACTCTCACAAATTAGCAATTGGTATTAGAGCAGGCGGTCTAGGAATCGCTCTCTCGTACGGTGATCCTATCAGCATTATTGAAGGTTGAAGTTCATGCTCGGTCCGGGAATGTGAAGTTTGTTGGTCAAGGACTAGGCTTGCATGAAGATATTGAGGCAATATCACCTCAAAATGGCGGACCTGGCAAGTACTACTACTGCACTTAAGAAACTTAAATGCAACAGCTACAGCTACTGGGAGACTTGTATAAAGTCTTATTTGTAAGGACAAGACAAGCAGATTGAGGAGCAAAGTAATCGACAAGCAAGGAAACCTGATGGTAGTTGCTACAACTGCAGGAAGAAAGGCCATTTCACAAAAGACTACCACTACAAAAGAAGACTTGTAGAGGGAAATGTTGTAACATTGCGCAGATGTCAAGGTGATGAAGAAGAATAGGATGCCCAAGCATCCATGGCCAACATTGAAGATGTATCGCTGAGCCAGAGTTTGCCTCTTGGTGGTTGCTCAAAATAGACGGATCCTCTGGCAAGGCCCGCAGTGGAGCAGGAGTAGTCTTACGCAGCCCTGACGGGTCAACGCATAAGCACTCCATCACCTTTGGATTTCCAGCCTCTAATAACGAGGCCGAATATGAAGCACTTTTGGCGAGTCTTTGAGCTACCTTAGCAATAAAAGCCAAGCACATTTGTATGTTAGCCGACTTCCAACTTGCTATCCATAAGGTGAATGGAGAGTATGCAACCAAAGATTCTAGGAAGGTTCTGTATTTGAAAGCGGCAAACGAGTTATTAGCCAACTTCACCGATTTTAGAATCTCCCAAGTCTTCCGCACCCTCAATGCTCGGACGGATGCTCTTTCCAAAGTGGATCATCTAGTTTAGGAACTAGTTTGGGGCTTGTATATATCGATACCCTTGAGCACCCTAGCATCTTCAAGGCATCAGAGGCTGTAATGCACACTGAAACGCCCATTGAGCCCTGTTGAATTGATCTCAACATCTAGTATCTAACACAGGTGACCCTACTAAAGAATGCTGCTGAAGCTATGAGTCTGCAAAGAAACGCTTGCTGCTATCTAATGCTCGATAGTCAATTTTATCGGCAGTCGTACTCCAGAAGTGGTGTGGGGCCCTATCTACGGTGTCTTCGACCTGCTGAAGCCAATTATGTTCTCCGAGAGATTCATAAAGGGACCTATCAGAATCACCCTGGGGCTAGAACTCTTGCCCAGAAGATCATTCACCAAGGGTACTATTGGCCCACCATATAGGCCAAGTCCAAAAGGCTCGTCTCTTTGTGCAAGAAGTGCTAATTCTTCTTAGCCATTCCACGAGCAACAACCACTAAGCTCACCTTCATTCTGAGCCTAATTCCTTTTGCCCAGTGGGGGTTGATTTATTGGGTCCTCTTCTTATACCTTTTGCATAGTGGAAGTTCTTGATAGTCACCATCGACTACTTCACAAAGTGGATTGAAGCTGAGCCTTTGGCTAAAATTGGTGAGACTAACATCACAAATTTTGTTTGGAGGTTCATTATCTACCGATTTGGTGTACCCCTCCTGTTTGTGATCGACAATGATACTAAGTTTGATAGGGGGCTTCCAAAGTTTTTGCGAAGAATAGAATATTCACCTTAAGTTCTCCTTGGTCACTCACCCCAAGTGCAATTGACTTGCCGAAGCTGCCAACTAATGCATCCTCCAAGCTCTGAAGAAGATAGGCATGGAGGCGAGAAATTGGGTTGAAGACTTGCTTAGGATTCTATGGTCCTATCGTACGACTCACAAGAACTCTACTAGAGAGACCCTCCTCAGGTTGGCCTATGGAGCCGAAGTAGTCACCGCAGTTAAAGTAGGCATGATGATGATCTGACTACGACATTTTGACAAAGGCTTGAACGCAGAGGGTCTTTGAATCGGACTCGACTTCATTGACGAAGTCTGAGAAAAAGCTCTCCTATACAAAGTCATCAATCAGAAGCGCATCGCCCGATACTACAACCGCAAAGTCTAACCACGTAGACTTAATATCAGCGATCTCATCCAACAAAAAGCAGCTTTCGACTAGGACATCAAGCGCGACAAGTTGGCTCCTAACTGGAGGAGGGATCCTACACCGTCCTTGAAGAATTGCACCCAGGAACCTACCAACTGAGAAGCCCCGACAGAAGAATCTTGCAGCATCCCTGGAACATCAAACACCTTAAGAAATACTTTCAATAATTATAAATGCAAATTTCATTTGTTAATGTAAGATCTTTTGAGTGCTAACTCTTATGTTGTACTCTCATTATCTTATCCTTACAAGACCAAAAGACCTTGGTGTGACGCCCCTGGGTTCACACAAGGCTGCAGTCCAAGGTGAAACCAAGAATGTCAAACCTGCTATGCACCACACCGTGCAATAACATGTTTCACCATCACAATTAACATCTATCTAGAAGAATCAACAACTGGTGTAGGTACAAAACAGGTAAGAGATAATACAAGGAATACTGAGGAAAAGATAATAGTCACATAAATATCTCATCATCCAACAATACAGAAATACATAGTCAAGATCTGAGTAGATAAACTGAAATACTCAACAAGTCTCAAATACAAATATCTGACGATGAAGAGATAAGGCTCACAGCCTTTACAATTTCTAGAATGATACCCTCAAATGTCTAACCTCACTATAGTGGAGCCCAAAGAAGAATAATACATAACTAGAAAGTAAAGCTGAACACTAATGTGGTCCGCTATCAACCTGTGACTCTCCGTGCTCCTGGCTCGTGACCTGAAAGGGGGGAGGGACAACGAGCGTCAAAGCGCTAGCGAGTAACATCACAACCAACCCCAAGGGAAAAGGGCTCGTTGTATAAGAAAATACAGATAATATATATATGATCCAAAAATCATTGATCCTACTAAAGAGGGTTTTAGTATTTAGAAATTTACAACACGAGCATAGGTACGTCGAGCGAAATAATCCAAACAAGGAAACCCTCATGTATATACCTTGTATCTCAAATTGCAAATCTCTAAACACCAAACCCGAGGTTCTAGTACAAGAAACAATAATAAAAGTAATACAACAAATCTCAGGGCATAAATACAGTGCCATGTCATAGCTTACATGAGCACCAGGTTATTACTTACATGTATGCCATGTTAAAATCTACATAAGTGTCATGTCATATACTCCTGTGAGAAAGTCATATACAGGGTTAAGAAATATGTCTGTTACAGGAACTAGATACTGTGGTTTCCAAACACATGAAATAAGTGGCAAATGTCCAACACGAGGACTGAAATGGATTATAGTCCAACACGAGGACTTCGGTG